TATATACCCCTAACTGCATTACATATAATATTTTTATAAATAAGATAATTTTAATGGACTGAGACTGGATTGGGCTCTCTTGTATCCGCCAGTGAAACTTGATAAATCTCTTTATTTTGGAACACGATTTGTGAGCTTAAATATTTTTTATATTCATTTAGTATTAACTAGATTCATATTCAAGATTTGTCAATTACCTGAAGTTTGCTTATCATCAACTTTGAGTAACACTTTATCTGATTAATATGTAACTGTGATGTCAAAATTGGCCAATGGAAAAAAAAAAAGAAAAAAAAGGTGCAAAAATCTACATGTGTTGTAGAACTTGGGGATTGATTTACAAAAGAATACACGTCTAGGTTCACCAATGGAAGCCCTTCGGTGCTCGAATCAAAAGAGGAATTATAATATAATGCACATAAGATGATTATGTGCAATTAGGGTGTGTTTGATTGCGAACATATAATTTACATAAAAAGAAAATAAATTCTAGATAATTGAATTGTTTGAAAATTATTTACATGGAAATTAACAATTAAATGTGTTTGATTGATTTTATTTTCAATCTAGAAAATATTATACTTGTCTATGTTTTATTGGTAGGTAAATGGTAGAGATTCAAGGAAATCATGGTCAAGTGAAAAAAAAAAAAAAAAATCTTCCATGAAAAAGTATATCAATCAAATAGCTCAAAAGTAAGAATTTGAATGGAAAAATGATATTTTTTTATAAAAAATATTGATAATCAAACGTACTTTTAGAGTAAATTTTATGTCGTGCATGTTGAGAGTGAATCATCATAATTTTATGCTTCTTAAGATCCTTGTAGGTCCGGATTCATAAATAGATTTCTCGTGGATTTAATAGGCTCATTTAAAAATGGCTTTAATTTACTCAATCAATCCACTGATTTATTCCTAAATGTTGAACCGTCCAAATGATATGAGAAGTTAAAAGGAAATTGCCATATACAAAAATATGGAAATTTGTTCCCCACTTTTAAAGGGAAATTTGGCCAAATAGGGTTGGACAATGTTATTGGAGAAATGGCCTTTGACCAATGTTAAAAAAATTAAAAACATTCAAAATGATTTTATTGGCAAAATGATAAAATTGACCTCTAGTTAATGGCAAAATGTCAAACAATTTCCATCATTTTCACCTTGTTTTATCTTCTTCAATCACTGCAAAATCCTAATCTCCCAGATTGAATCTATCAACTTCTTCTTCTATTGTAAAATGCTATTCCCCCATTATGAATCTAAGGCCGTCTTCTTACCATTTTCATGATCTTCAACCCTAATTAATGCAATAAATACCCAAAAATTTCGATTAGGATTTCTTAGCTTGCTTTGCAATAGAGCCTCTCGAGCGAAAAAAAAAAATTCTAATAAATGAACGCAACTTATCCATGATTCTCGGATTGTTTGTGTAGAATTCCTAACTTTTAGTCCTAATTTCTAGCAGATTTTATAACTGTAAATTAGTTCCCCAATTAAGGGGTGTTATTTTTATCGATTCCAATTCTTAGGCATTTAGTCAGTAGAGTAGTTTAGGAAATTAAATCTTGCCTTGATTTAAGGAAGTGATTTATTCCTTCTATTTTTCCTATAAATTGTATATTGTTTTATCAATAAAATAAGAATAAAGATTACATATTCTTCATGGTATCAGAGCAACCTCTGAAACCTAAGGAATCTCAATGACAAGTACGGCATGGCTGTAGAAAATAAAACTTCTTCACATCATGATGTTTCTGCCACAAGTTCTAATGGTGGATCAGAGAGCAATCATCTTCTCATCACAGGGCATAGATTGAATGGAAATAATTACATCCAATGGTAGCAATCAGTCATGATGTTCATCTGCGAAAAGGGGAAGGATGATTTTATCACTGGAGTGTCTACCCCTCTAGCAACCACAGATCCGAAATTCAAACTATGGAAGTTAGAAAATAATATGGTCATGTCTTGGCTAATCAATTCTATGACAAAGGAAATTGGAGAAAATTTCCTACTCTACAACACTGCTAAAGAGATATGGGATGCAGCAAAGGAAATCTACTCCAGTAATGAAAATATTTCAGAATCATTTGAGATTGAAACCGTTCTCCATGACCTTCAACAAGGTAATTTATCGGTAACTCAATATTTCAATATTCCTACTCGTCATTGGTAACGATTGGATTTCTTCGAAGAGCATAGGTGGGAGTGCCCTGTAGATGCAAAAAAATACAAGGAAATTACTGAAAAGAAAAGAATTTTTAAATTCTTAATGGGTCTTAACAAGGACGTTGATGAAGTTCGGGGAAGAATTAGGATCGAAACCATTGCCCAACATCTGGGAGACATTTTCAAAACTATATTGTGATGAAAGCAGAAGGAAGGTAATGCTTGGATCTCCATCTACTATCCCAGTTACTGAAAATTCAGCTCTTGCTGTACATGGAGGACAACACCACAACGATAACTATCGGCAAAAGAAGGACAGACCTTGGTGTAATCATTGCAAAATACCGGGACAAACTGATGATAGTTGTTGGAAAATACATGGTAAACCAGCATATTGGAAGTCCACAAGGCCACCTTTCAACAAAGAAAAACGAGGAAATCATGTCTTCACTGATGAAAGCACCACAACAACCAAACCAAATCCTTTTAGCAAAGAGCAACTTGAAGTATTACAGAAGATGTTTTCACAGTCATCACAAGCCCTACATGGTAACACGATTGGAACTGGGTCCTCAGCACACAAAGGTAATTCTTTAAGTGCTCTTACAGTAAATAAAGAAAAAAATAAATCCATGGATTTTAGACTCAGGTGAATCAGATCACATGACTCGAGATATTAATCTCTTCGACCAATATAATTCATGCTGTTAAAATTTTACTGAGAAAATAGCTGATGGATCAGTCACCAAGGTTGCTGGCACAGGTTCTATTATTATTTCCAAAAATCTCACACTAAATTCAGTGCTTCATGTACCAAAATTGAATTGCAATCTCCTGTCAATTAGTAAGCTCACTCAAGAACATAAGTGTTACTAAATTGTATTCAATTTTGTGTGAATTTTAGGATTTGGATTCGGGGAGGATGATTGACAGTGCTGAGGTGTGCTCAGGTCTTTATCTTCTTAGAGTTGATGAATCTCTTAAAGGACAAACTTACAAAGCAGAAAGTGTAAAGCTCAAGAGTCAGTTTTCTCAAAGCCTTGTTTCCACTGGTTAATTCAATAAAGACACAGAAATCATGTTGTGGCACTACCGTTTAGGTCATGTAAATTTCTTATATCTTCAGAAGTTATTTCCTTCCTTATTCAATAATAAAAATCCAAAGGAGTTTCAATATTAAGTATGTCAATTTGCAAAACATATTTGCAGCTCTTATTTCATCAAACCTTACAAAGCATCTCATCCTTTCTCATTAATCCATAGTGACATATGGGGGCTATCTAGAATAAAAAATATTACTGGAACAAGATGGTCATATCCTTTGTAGATGATCATTCTAGGATTACGTGGTTATTTCTTATGAAAGAAAAATCTGAAGTTGGTCAAATCTTCAAAAACTTTAACACTATGATCTAGACACAGCTCCAGATAAAAATACAAGTGTTAAAAACTGATAATGCAAGAGAATATTTTGACACCATCCTAGGAGATTATCTACTTAGTTAGGGCATCATGTATCAAAGTTCTTGTGTGGACACGCCCCAAAAAAATGGGGTAGCTGAAAGAAAAAATAGGCACCTTTTAGAAGTTGCTCGATCACTTATGTTCACCACACACATTCCTAAATTTTTTTTTGGGGAGAGGCGGTATTAACTGCTACATATTTAATAAATAGAATGCCCTCATGAGTGTTGAACTTTTAGACACCCTACCAAGTCTTTCTCCAGTCATATCCTACTACTCAGTCCTGTCCACCATTCCATTTAAAAATTTTGGCTGTTTCGTGTTTGTCCACATACACCCTCAACATCAAAGTAAACTTGATCCCAAGGCCCTCAAATGTATCTTCATTGGGTATTCCTCAAGTTAAAAGGGTTATAAATGCTACTCTCCAATTACAAGAAAATTCCACAATTGCATGGATGTCTCCTTCTTTGAACAAAAACCTTATTACCCCGAATCTGATATTCAGGGGGAGAACTTTACACGGGAATACCAGCTTTGGGACATTGATACTTCCAATCCATCTCTCACCACAGATCTGTCTATACCTTCGATTGAAATTCCTCAATTAAATCAGATTCCAAACATGATTGTTCAGGCTGACATACCATCATTAAAGTCCCATACAACGCCATTAGTTTCTGAACCAGAATCTCAAATTCTAAAGCAAAGCATCCCTGTTGATTCTTGTGAGTTACATGTCTACATTAGGAGAAACAAAACCCAGGAAAGAAGATAATAGCCACCTGAGCATAACTATGAGTCTACCCCGACTCCAGAATCTCGAGAAATTTCACCAGGTAACACCAGCCCAATTCGGCTCCTATTGAAATTCCTAATGATGATCTTAATTTTTCGATTGCCTTGCAAAAATGTGTGAGGTCCTGTACCTCCCATCCTATCTGTAATTTTATTTCATATAATGGGCTGTCAACTGGTTATCGAGCATTTGTTAGCAATCTTGACAAAGTGCAAATTCCCAATTCTATACATGAAGCACTTGCTGTACCAGAATGGAAAACTACAGTTTTAGAAGAAAATCGAGCATTGAAACAAAATGGAACATGGGAAATATCTGATCTGCCAACTGGAAAATGCCCAGTAGGATGCAAGTGGGTCTTTACGATTAAACATAATGTAGATGGAAGTGTGCACAGATTCAAGGCTCGTTTGGTAGCAAAAGGATTCATGCAGTCTTATGGAATTGACTATCAAGAAACATTTGCTCATGTTACCAAACTTAATACAGTTCGCATATGGTTGTCATTAGCCTCCAACCTAGATTGGCCATTATATCAACTAGATGTGAAGAATGCATTCCTTAATGCAGACCTAGAGGAAGAGGTTTAGATGGAGATTTTCCCTGGTTTTGTGACTCAAACTAATATAAATAAAGTTTGTAAGCTGAAAAAAATCATTATATGGCCTCAAACAATCTCCAAGGGTCTGGTTTGACAGATTTACTAAAGCATTAAAGAGATTTGGTTACATTCAATGTCAGGCAGATCACACTATGTTTATTAAACAATCATCTACAGAAAAGGGCAATTTTTATTGTGTATGTAGATGATATCATCTTGACAGGAGATCATGAAGAAGAGCTACTCAAGCTCAAAAGATTCTTAGCTAAAGAATTTGAGATTAAAGATCTAGGCAATATCAGTCTCTCAGCGAAATTATGTACTGGATCTCTTGAAGAAAACAAGAATGTTTGGTTGTAAACCTGTTGACACTCCAATAGATTCATCTATCAAACTGGGAGCAAGGAAAATGCACCTGTGGATAAGGATAAATACCAAAGATTAGTCACAAAACTTATTTATCTTTCCCACATTAGACCACATATCAATTTCTCTGTAAGATGGTAAGTCAATTTATGAATAAACCCACTGAAGAACACATGGAGGCTTTTTTTAGAATTCTAAGGTATCTAAAGATGACTCCACGCAAAGGATTATTATTCAAGAAGACTTCAAGCAAAGAAATTGAAATATTCACTGATGCAGATTGGGTCGAGTCCATAACTGATCGATAGTCAACTTTTGGGTACTGCACTTACGTCTGGGGAAATCTAGTCACTTGGCAAAGTAAAAAAATCTATTGTATCTCAAAGCAGCACAAAAGCAGAATTTAGAGCTTTAGCTCATGATATGAGTGAACCAATATGGCTAAGAAAGGTCCTTGGAGAATTAAATATTCCAGTTATAGATCCTATGAAGATATATTGCGACAAACAATCTGCTATCATCATAGCAAGGAATCCAATTCATTATGATAGGACAAAACATGTGGAAATTTATCTGCACTTTGTCAAAGAGAAAATAGAGTCCGGGATAATATCTCTACTTTACACTCCAACATGTCATCAGGCTGTAGATATTCTCACTAAGGCGTTACCAAGAAAAACATTTGAAGAACTAAGTTCCAAGCTAGGTTTAATTAATATTATAACCTAGCTTAAGAGAGAGTGTAGAATTTTTTATTTTCAGTCCTAATTTCTAGCAAATCCTATAGCTGTAAATTAGTTCCCCAATTAAGGGGTGTTATTTTTATCAATTCCAATTCTTAGGCATTTAGTCTGCATAGTAGTTTAAAAAATTAAATCTTTCCTTGATTTAAGGAAGTGATTTATTCTTTTTACTTTTCCTATAAATTGTACATTGTTTTTTCATTGAAATAAGAATAAAGATTACATATTCTTCAGTTTGCAATCTTTTTGGCTAATAAACCATGCCACCGGGTTTCCATTTATTAACCTTGCCAAACTTCTTCATCATTGTGTTGTGATTGAATGGTAGTTTTGACAAGCTGATCTCTCTCTTTTCATTTTTTTCCTTTTCAAATGTGACTATGCTTGTGTCTTTTGGAACGGTGGCTGGATCTCGGGTAATTTGGGTTCGGATCCAAGATAGGTCCATTTTCCTAAACATTTCTCTCTATCTCCAACATTTTCTCTAGCACCTAGGGTCTCTGCATCAAACCAGTATTTCGTACCTCCGGTCGCAGCACCAATTCGAGCGACGATACTAGGGTTTCTAGCCATGGGCCTGATAAGACTGTAAAATACCATATTTTCCTCTCTTAATTATTGCATTCATGTGATTATATTATGCCAAAATACACTCACTACTCTTATGTTTTGGTTTAGGTTTCATTTTGGTGAAAACGGTGAAATTTGAAAGAAACAAATGAAAAAGGACAAAAGTAAGAAGTGAAAGTTCAGGGACCAAGTTGCAAATAATTCATAGATGAGATGGGCGATGGAATGATGATTCAAGAATGATAAGAGTCAATTGGGTGCAATTAGAAATCAAAGGAAGTGAAATATGATCATAAATCTTCACAAATCAATTCTCAATCGAAAAAGTTACGCACTGGTTTTCAGCCTCATATTGGGACCCATTTTTGACATGGAAGATAATCGAATTTGAAGATACTTTCTGAGGTAAAGTTGTAGCTCTTTAAATTAGATTTCCAACATACCTTGGATCACCTCAACGAATGTCGGGAGAGAAAATTATGATCAAAGTACCGAAAGTTGTCCGGCCGAGAAAACTATAATAACCATACGGCCGCAAGGAAGAAAACCATGCGGCCGCCCACACTGTTACCGAAGCTTGAGGGCTGAAAACTCCATAACCATGCAACCACAAGAGTTATAACCATGTGGCCGCATGGACTTTTCTCTGGGACGAAAATTTTTCTTTCCTTAATCGACTCAAACACTTATGGTAACAAGTTTTCACACGACTTTTAAGCCCTAATCTCGACAGAAAATGCCACCATTCACCTCCTATCACTTTTTTTTATTTTTGGTTCAAGAAATCCATGGAGAACTAAATTCTTTGGTGAAGTCACGAAGCATCTCGATTGGATTTGGTGATTTTAACATCTTTTCTTTCATGTAATGTGATTTTTATTGTCAAATAATTCTGAGATTTAGATTTCTTCTTTATTATTATACTTTTGATGTTTGTTTTGAAAGTCCAAGAACAACTAACCAAGAGGGGGTGAATTGGTTATTTGATACTTTTTGAAAACTAAACGCAAATTTAAGCAAATAACTATGAATAGACAAGACAACACAAAAGTAAAAAGAGGAAGGGAAAAGAAAGTGCAAACGATGTAATAAGGAGATTCGATCCAATCACGATCTACGTCCCCCGTTACCAAGCTCTCCGTCACGAGCAAGGCCTTTTCACTATCTTTGATTGACTTATGGTGCAATCCAACCCTTACAATGCTTTTGGTGACTTACAACTAAGGAGTACCGATCCTTTTACACGTTGAACTGTCCAGGACCTCAACACGACCCACAATTTGATGAACAAGAAAATCAAAGTTACAATTGAAAAGTTTCTCTCTTAACAAATGGTATGAACACAACTAAATATTAAGAGAGAATTAGGCACAAACACTTCAATAAATCACAAAGAATATAGCTCAAGTGTTGTGTGAAATTTTTTTATTTAGATATATGATTTTTCAAAAAGTTACTCACTCAAAAAGTTTTTCAACAAATAAATATTTTGATCTCTTAAAAATTGAAAAATAAGATATATAAGATCAATAAATAACTCTCTTTAATGTTCTAGAAAACTTTTTTAAAAGAGGTATAAAGAGAGGTATTTATAGCCATCAATCAGGAGATCCGGAAAAGTGATTCGGACATTCGCTTAT